CGCGCGCTCGCTGGCCTGGCCGGGCCGGGCAGGCGGCGCGCGTGCACAACGTACGCGTCGAATGGTCCGCAAAATTGGCTCCTCACCCTTGCGCAGATGCAGCCTCCTTTTGCAGTTTTGTTTTGCTGCAGGAAAATTCGGATTTGTTTTGTTGTTGGAAACATTCCGAAAAATCTGGTGCGTGAAAACGGCGTGGAGTCCGGATAAGTTACGCGCGACTTATCCGGCTCGGTTACGCAGAGTGGAGATCGTGCGGGCGCCCTGATCAAGCGACCTATCTCTATATAAATCGTGCCGCCGCCTTCACGCAACACACGCGAAATCAATCTAGGGTTTGCCTCCTCCTCTGTGTTGCGCCGTCGCTCGTAGACTACTCCATCCCGCTCGCCAGCTTGCACAGGCGATCGGGAGAGCAGGTCTCCGGAACCTCTGCCTTCGACGTCCTGCACCGGGAGAAGGCATCAATAAGGTTTTTGGGAAGCGCTTCGCGCGACTGCTCCCTGTTCGTCCGCGACAGCTCGCCTTCCTCTACGCTCGCGTGCTGCGCGCCTTCGTCGACGCTCGCAATCGCGACTAGTTCCTGCCGAGCAACCGGTCTTTCCGCCACCTCGGTACGTGTTCGACATGTTGCGCATATTTGATCTGTTCATGTTTTACTGCTTAGTTTACATGTGTAGATCTAATGATGCGTTAATGCTAGTATACATCTGTAATGTCATGATTTATTTATGAAATATATTAAATCATTATATGCCTATATTCTCAACAACTCTGACAGTAAGTACTTTAAAATCATCCTTCACTAATGATCATCAAGTTCTATCACATGTAAAACTCTCATGTTCAATATCCCCTAGTGGCCTAGTTTCCCCTCGCACTTAACGCATTTCCTAGTTAGGACCGTTGACAACGTTAGGCCATCATCATAAAAATAGCTCATCGTAGAGCTGAATTTGCATGAATTTCAGTTTGATAGTTAGTCCGTAGATTGTACTCAACCACTATTAATTCATGCATTCCAAGTAACTGAAATCTAACAAATGCCTTGTTTAATTACATTCGCCTTTGCTAAATCTTAGTCACATATATATTTCCTATGGTAGTATTGTTTTATACTTTCCCCATATAGGGGTGCCGCTTCGTCGATGGGTGCTGCCGTCGAGCGATGAAGTACGTTGCACGCAATTGCTCTGGCATCTGGCTGTCTGGAAGCAAAATTATCGATGTAGACGTGTAGTATGTGGCCGGGATAGCAGAATTAACGAGTGGCGGTTCCTGGTTTCCTGGCATGGATCGCTTTACTGGTTCTTTGTTTCCATGGAATCCGCGAGAAGTAACCGTACAAAACAGACTAGTCGTCATTGTGTCTTCCTCGCTATCGCTGTTGTTAACATATATACACGTGAGGGAGCATGAGAACAAACTGAGCCTGATCGATTCTAGTTGCAGGATCATGGATGTTCTACTCAATAGAAGACAACTGCAGAAGAACATACAACGGTAACCTACACCGGTACACCACGTACAAGTATAGTACTTATATTTGTAGAGGCTTCCGCCATATGTTGGCTTTTGGTTTAGTAGGAATGATACGATTTTTGATAAAACATAATTAAAATCTTATTTGCAGGTACTTTTTAGGGCAACATATTGGCTTTAGGGTTAGACTCAACTGCAAAAGTATAATGATGATATCAAACTAATAAATGATGGATGTCGTAAACTTGACTCGATAATTATGCACATTTTCACCAACTTTGGATGGAGATTTTCAAATAGAATTCAGTAATCTTGTGTTGGTTTTTATTAGTTTGTGTTTAATTTATGTTATGTCAGTATGTGGTTAGTTTGTTCACAAGTAGACTTTGTAATAATTTGGTGTAACTCGTTGAGCAAAGGACGGAATGTTATTCTATTATCATTGAAAAAAAGAGACTATCCCGTATATGTATAACTAACAGTACAGTCAATCCATATCCCGATCCCGATGTATATTCGAGATAAAATTTAGGTAGATGCATACGAAAGTTACAAGTTCAATAAGTTGGCGGTCAGACATGAATTGGCATCCAATGGCCAATGGGATATACATGACATGCACCATTTGACGTTCAGTTTTTCTTCTGGGCATTTGCAAAATTTTCATTGTTTGTTTTTATATATTTTGCAAGAATGGCATTCGAATGACTCGAATGACAGTCCTAGTGGTATTTTTAGAATTTTCTAGTGTCAGCTTTATAATAACGATTCAAAATGATTGTAAATTTGTAACTATTCCCTTTTCTTTTCAAAAGTAGCAGTAGTACAAAACGATACTCCCTCCATTTTAGTTATAAAACGTCAAAGTCAAACTGCTTTAAGTTTGACCAAGTTTATAGAAAAAAGTAATAATATTTTTAACCCAAGACAAATTTATTGTAAAATATATTCAATTATTGATTTGATGAAACTAATTTAGTATTATAAATATTACTATATTTGTCTATAAACTTAGTTAAACTTGAAACAATTTGATTTTGACCAAAGTCAAAACGTCTTATAACCTAAAACGGAGGGAATAGTTTATTCCAGTCTCAATATTACGCTACCAATATGCTAGTTGTTAATAGAAAGGATTTTATTATATTTGTGGACTTGTGGTTATCAAAATACAATCATTTTTTTTGTACAATTTAAATAGTGCAACTAAATTTTGAATAAGACAAATAGTCAACTCAAAAGTCTAACAATGTTGCATGTTTAAAAATGGAGACAATAGTATTTGAGCAAAGATGTGCACTAGAAAGAAGACACTACCATGCAGAAAGAGTATGGAGTATGCACTATTAATATGTCCTAAAGAATTGTTGTGAATACCGATTGAAGACTTATACATCTTCATATATGCATGAATATTGACTTTTCAGGTTATTGCCACATGGCCACATCCGAGATCTCTACACTAGCTAAGAACTTGGGAGACGACTGGCTTGTATCATAATAAGGAAGTACATAACTGTATTATGGTCCTGTTTGATTCAGCTTAGGATTATTATAATCTAGCTTATTAGGAGTAAGCTGAAACAAACAAGTAGATTATTATAGCAGATTATTATAATCTATAAGCCAGATTATTATAATCTAATAAGCTGCTCTAGAGGAGCTTTTTTGAGATTATTGAGTGCTAAAGACCCACTACCCCTATATACTTGAGAAAAATTACCCACCTATGCCATCAACCGAACAGATAGCTGAAGGCATTATAGACTTTAGTCTTTCAAACCCAATAATCTATGCCTCCAATAATCCAGACAAACAAATAACTCACAGCTTATTCTATGTCAGCTTATTATAATCCAGCTTACAGTAATCTGGTTTAATAATCTAGATTATAATAATTATAAGCTGAAACAAACAGAGCCTATGGGTCGTTTTTGACTTATCGAGTGAAAAATCACATTTTTTTGCACTGGATTTGCATTTTTGGGGTACCAAATGAACGTGCAAAACTCCTTACAAAAATGGAGAAATATAATGGTCTTAGACCATTGCACAAGTGGTAATCACTTTATCTTTTTTTCCCTCTTGTTTCTAACTCATTGTTCTTATCTTCTATTATGTTTTATTTGGCATTATAGGTTTGCCTTTTTTTTTCTTGCTTTACCTGTGGATTGACTACTTCTCCTGAGGAATTTGTCATGCAACTTTGGTTTCTTTATAACCTATCAATTCTACTTCAAACCACAAATAAGACCGAATCATATATAGGTTAAATTTTTGGTTTATAGTGTGATGTATTTATAATAAGATTGGATAAATGATACAACAAAAATGTTACTTACGTTTAATCAAATAGTCATAGAGATAATGATAGGTATAGCCATATAAGTTTGAAGTTTGATTATACATCTCACGAAAAACTGAAAGTATAACATCATATATTTACAATGGCGAATTAACTTATCATAGTTTTACATCCAAAATATTTAGAGTAAATTTCATAAAACTACACATTTAACACCAAAGTTTTCACAAAACTACACATTTAAGATGAAGTGTCACAAAACTACATATTTAGTAACTAAATTATCACAAAACTACAGGTTTAGAATCTATTTAATCACAAAGTAATGATGTTTATAGCTCCACACATAACAATGGTGTTAGGGATTTAAACTCCAAAAGTTGTAGTTTTGTGATAAGTTCAATATTAAATATGCATTTTTATGATACTTAATCTAAAATCTGTAGTTTTGTGATAAATTTGGTGCTAAATATGTAGTTTTGTGATACAACTCCTTAAATCTATAGTTTCGTGATAATTTGGTCAAAATACCTGTAGTTCTGTGAAATTTACTCAAATATTTATTATATTGGTTTCAAAGAATTCTATAGCTTGTTTATAAGTCAATCTCCACAGTTTTAAAAATGGCGTTGATATACTTTTACAGGTCCCATCGGTTGCTCGAATAAGCCAAAGCCAAAGTCAAGATTTAAATTTTTAAACTTAATTTTGAAATCAATTTTAAGGTATTTTTAATGTATTTTTTAAAGCATTGAATTTTAAGTCATATAAAAGTTTTACATAAAAATTAGTATTTATTTTAATAAACCGTTTTGATATATTAGAAAATATGGGTGAGCTCTATGCATTACACCAAACGAGAAGTAAATTGCTGCGACATTAATTTCGCAGAGTTTCCCGGCAATGATGCCCTTTGGCCGCTTGCAGCCCAGCATTTGCATTGCACATGCCGGTTGCCAGAGTCATACAGAACATGCCAACAACCATTGACCCTGAGTACCTGACAGAGGGCCTCAAATCCTCAATCGCTCAATGCAAAAAAATCAACAATAGACCGGGTCAATTTACCCCCCAATTTGGATATGAACGATTGCTATTTTCTAGACTTCCCAACAGCAATTAAAAACATTGTTTTTCTTGGTTGAGCTTTGAAGCGTAAGGAATTGACGCCGCCTCTTCCCTGCAACGAACGGAACGGAACGTGTCCATCGCATCCAGTTCGGATTCTCACCATTCTCGCGTGCGCATCGACGCTACGCTAACGCGTCGCACCGCCAGCCACGCCGATTCATACGGCCACGTCACTTTCGCCCCCCTTCTCCGCATTCTGTTTTCTACTATTCGCTAGTATACTGCTACTAGTTCTTCTTCTTCTTCTTCTGTCTGATCCACCAGCAAGGTTAGGTTAGGCTTCTTCTTGAGCAAGCGATTCGGGGTAGTTGAGCTGGTTGCAACCCCGCTTTGTTGATTCGTTCTTTGGCGGCAAATTCGATATTCTGTTTCGCTCCCCCCTGGGTTTCTGCTTGGAATTTAGGGGGTCACGAGAGCAAACCACGCGGTCCCGTTCTTGAATTGCTGGAGAGGGGTGGGGAAGAAAGATCGGGGGAAGAGGGGACGCGAGCTCAGCGGGCTTTGGTGCTTAAGTTCTTTCGGGTTTGTGTTCTTGTGAAGTTCCTCTGGCATGGGGACGAGGAGGAGGAGGAATCCGGTGATATTCTTGTTCTTGTGGTTCGTCATGGCGTTTGAGCTGTGTGCATCTCTGAATCATGAAGGTGCCGGACCGTGATTTGGATAGTTTCTTTGGTTTATACTCTTTCTTGTCCATCTTTTTTTCTCGACTCTCGCTTTAAGGGTTTTGTTGCTGAATTGCAGGTGTCGCTCTTATGAGGTTTAAAGAGATGATTGATGCTGACCCATTTGATGCTCTGTTGGATTGGGATGAAGGGAACGCCAGCCCCTGTTCTTGGTTCGGTGTGGAGTGCTCGGATGATGGTCGAGTTGTGGCCCTGTAAGTTTTTCACTTATGTGCAGTAAAAGAGATAGGAGACCCAGAAAATAACCTTTCTATTCATTTGGAAGAAATGAACTGCCTTAACTAAGCTGCGATCTGGGAAAAAAAAACTATAATCTTAAATTTACTCGTTTAGATTGAATTAGATCTTGCCATTCCATTTTTGTTGCATAACGTCATTAGTAGCATTGCAGTAGTAGTGATAATTGACATTTTTTGGTGTATAGGGACCATCTGCATGGGACAATTTTTTTTCTCACACCCTGTTTAGGAGGGCTCTAGATTCATCTGTAGAGCATCGTCACTTTACTGTCTTTGTTTACATTTTTCACACAAGTTTGTGCGGGTGGGTGTGGGTATTCATTTAGTAGCAGTTAACAGTATTGTGCCTGCTGCAATTCTATGTTATCTATTATTGTGTGATGCAATGGCACCACAGAGAGTCTATGGTTTTTAATCTGGAATAAGACAGCGGTTTGTTCTTTTGTCATACTTAATATTCATAGTATATCCCTATGCTACTATTGATCATGTCTTTGCTTGCGTTTCCCCTTAGTTTGAGTGTGCAATTGTTGTAGGAACTTACCAAATCTTGGTCTAAAGGGTATGCTACCTCAGGAGATTGGAACACTTGCCCATATGCGTTCCATGTAAGCATATTCAGTACTTTCTTCTAAACACATTGACATTTTGCTTGCAAAGCGGTATTCCACATACTTACTGTTCTATTTTTAATTTATGTTTCAGCATTCTACACAATAACTCTTTCTATGGAATCATCCCCACAGAGATGAAATATTTACATGAGTTAAAGGTGTTGGATCTAGGATACAATACTTTCAGCGGACCATTTCCATCGGAGCTAAGAAATATTTTATCCCTGAAATTTCTGTACGTGAGAAGTTCAGTATGGCACTTTAATCTGAATTTAGTCCAACTGCATGATCTTAATATTAGTACCTTGTTTCAGCTTTCTCGAAGGCAACAAACTTTCTGGCAGTTTGCCAATTGAATATGAGCTCGCCTCGATGGACCAGACTTCTTTAAATAAGATATCTACAGAAAGGTACCTGTTTCTAATGATACTTGTTATTTGTGCAAATGTTTAAAATTTTGAGTCCAAGTTCTTCTAGCAAATAAAATAAAATTGGGAACTCTTTGATTCTGTCACTGTATTTATGGTGTCAACAATATCTTAGTTTCTTACTATCCTAGACCTTTATTTAATTGTAACATATATTCTAGGGTATCTGAAATTAGTGAAATTATATAAAACTGAAAAGTGTCAAAGCAAGCTAAACTGCTGTAAAAACTGATCCTCCACATGGTAACTCCTAAACCTATATCATTTCCTTGGTGTGGCAAATGAATGGAATGAAGACTGGTTTTTATTTTATTTTTTATGAAGGGGATAGCTTTATTAATATGCATTACTGTAGTTCAGTACTTTAATCTATCAACTATAGCATGGGGTACCATTACTTAGGTAATAATGTTAACTGTGTTTCTTTGGTTGATGGAAATCCTGATGACCTTATGATGATTCTTTTATTCTCTAACAGTCACTTAATCTTCTAGTAGGAACGAAGAGAATGCCACAAGAAGAAAACTTCTAGCAAGCAAACAAAAACGTTCCCAAAAGAACAGGATGCTTTTGTCTGGAACATCTGAATCACCACTGGAAAATGTTACAATGCCAAAGTCTCACCCTGATAATATAACAGTGCCACATCGTCCCGTAGCTCCTCGATCAAGTTCTCCACAGCCGCCACTCCCTTCCGAACCCATTCCCTCCCCTGCCCCTTCTATGCCCTCCCCTGCCCCTTCTGTATCCACCACTACAAACGGAACTTCAGGCCAAGAAAACAAGAGCAAGACAGCAATATATGCATCCATCGGAGGAGTGGCCTGCTTGGTGGTTGTGGCCATGTCAGCTGCACTCATCCTTTGTTACCGGCACAGGAAGACTAGTACTGTGGTACCTTTTTCTCCAACAGCAAGTGGGCAATTACATACTGCTACTTTGGGAGGTTGGTTGTTAATTTGATATGCTATTGAATTTATACCATTCTTGGTTTAATTATTATTCAGTTTACATATTGAGTTGTGTTTCAACGAGTTTGGCATGTTCCCGAGTTATGTTATATTTCATTCTTCTTTGGACGCATAAAGCAGCATTTAGAATCAACATCCAATTGTTGTTTTGCAGGAATAACTAAATTCAAACGCTCAGAGCTTGAAACAGCCTGTGAAGGTTTCAGCAACATAATTGACACACTACCTAGATTCACATTGTATAAAGGAACTCTCCCGTGTGGAGCAGAAATAGCTGCTGTGTCTACATTGGTGACTTACGCAAGTGGGTGGACAACTGTAGCTGAAGCACAATTCAAGGATAAGGTATATAATGGTTTTTTCTGTATTATTTCTTCCGCAGGGAAGATGTTTACTTACTAACATGGATATGCTATGGTGTTCTAGGTTGAAGTCTTATCAAAAGTGAGCCATAAGAATTTAATGAACCTTGTGGGTTACTGTGAAGATGAAGAACCATTCACTCGGATGATGGTGTTTGAGTATGTTTCAAATGGAACACTGTTTGAACACTTGCATGGTAAGAAAACTTCACATTTAGTTTGTTATTCTTCGCACCAAGATCAGTCACGCTATCAGCAGCTATTCATGATCACCATTAAAACATTGTTGTTGCAGTTAAAGAAGCAGACCAATTAGACTGGCAGTCATGCTTACGGATAGCGATGGGAGTGATGTACTGTCTGAACTACATGCAACAGCTGAACCCTCCTGTACTGCTGAGAGACCTAAGTACTTCTTGCATATACTTGACTGAAGACAATGCTGCAAAGGTTTCCGACATCAGTTTTTGGGGTGATAAAAAAGAAGACGAAAAATCTGAGGCTTCTGATGAGCACATCACAGTTTATAAGTTTGCTTTGCTTCTGCTTGAGACAATCTCTGGAAGGCGCCCATATTCTGATGATTATGGCCTCCTTATTCTTTGGGCACATAGATACCTCATTGGTGACAAACCCCTGATGGACATGGTTGACCCCACACTCAAATCAGTCCCTGAGGAGCAAGTCAGAGAACTCACAAAGCTGGTGAAATTATGCTTAAGTGAAGATCCCATGGAGAGGCCAACGGTGGCAGAGGTAACCGCATGGATGCAAGAGATCACTGGGATTTCTGAAGAAGAGGCGATTCCAAAAAATAGTCCGTTGTGGTGGGCTGAACTTGAGATCATCACATCATAAAAAGCCAGTTCATTGCGCAATATTATTGCTGCGGCAACGGTGTCCATTCTTGCCTAGATCACAGCAAATTGTACAGTCGTTTAGGACCCATTTTGGGCAGGCAATTCAGTTGTACAGATATGCCTGCACTGCTCACACCCATTCTTTCATTCTTTGGTTCATGAAACACACATAATCTCTGAAGTCCACTAAACAGTTGTGACGAAAGCGAGGAGTATAAATTTTCTACTAGTTTCTACACACAATTCCTGCACTGAACAGATTTGTTTGAACAGTTGAGTCTACTCAGAGATACCTGAAGTCTGATGGTTGATACTTGATACAATATCGAGTTCATTTGGTTTATTTATAGGAGTGAGACACTGAAGAACGAAGACGAAAACATTCGTATATTGGTAGTAATCATCAGCTTCAAATGTGCAATGTTGGCTCTCACGCAGATAAAAAAAAAAATCATCTTTTGTTACTCAGTGTGCTGCTCCCGCGCGCGTGACTGAGCCATGACTCGGACGGCGGCGACAACGGCGGGATCTCGCCGGACGTCGAGCGCCGCGGCGAGGCCGCCGCCGCCGGCTTGCCGGCCCTCCTCTCCCCTGTTACCCTCGGGCTGCCACGGCCGTCCGTCGCCGAACGAGCCAGCCTGCTCAGAGCCTTCCTCGCGTCGGCGCAGTATCGCTTGCTCGTGCCGAGGATCGCCGTGCCCCATCCTGGGCTCGACCACTCCCTGCCGCTGCCGCTCTTCTCGTCGGACCAGCGCGACGGGTCGCCGCCGCCGCCGCGTAGCTTGCTCTTGTCCTTCTCCTTCTCCTTCTCCTTCTCCAGGGCGTTGCCTAGCGTGACGCTGCGGCGTGGTGGGGAGGACGCGGTGGTGGACGCGTCGGCGGCGCGCGACGTACGGCTGCGCGCGAACCCGCAGAGCACCGGCTTGACGCTCCATGGGAGGAACAGCATGAACCCGCACGACCTCGGGGACATCTCGTCGCTCTGCGTCTCCTCGTCGATGTCCCTGCTCTGTCGCGGCGGCGGCGGCGGCTCACTCTCCTTGCGTTGGAGAGTGGAGACGTGGTGGCGCGGCGGGGGTTGCTTCGGTTGCTCGCGGCCGGAAGCGCGGCGCAGCGACTGCGCCCGGCGTCTTGCCGAGGCCGTCGCCTCCTCGTCTTGCTTGGAGCTGCGGGCGCCGCGGCGCGGAGTTTTCTTCGGGCGCTTGTCGGCGGAGGTGGTGGCGATGGCGTTGGCGGCCGGGAGGAAGCGGTCCATGATGAAGCTCGGCAACCGCAGCGACCCGGCGCCGTCGATGGAGCTCAGCCGGGAAGAGAACGCCGCGAACCGGTCGGACGCCGAGATCCTGTCGAGCGCGTCGGAGAACGTGTCGTCCGAGTCGTCGTCGTCGCTGCTCGTCGTCTCGGTGGCGTTCCCGAAGTATGCCCTCGCGTGCGCATGAGCCGGGGAGCCACCGCCGCCGCCGCCCCGCCCCGGCGGCGGCCTCGGTGGCAGCACCTCCCTCACCACCTTTCGGCCGCACGCGGCGTCCTTGGGCACGCCGGGGGAGCTCTCCCACGAGAACGGCACGTGCGTCCGCTGCGGCGACAACGGTGGCGACGACGGCGGCGCGCCGGGGGAGCCACCACCACCGCACCGCGCGGCGCTGCGCGGGGTCCCCGCCGCCGACGACGACCCGCAGCAGGACCGCCGCGGCGTCGGGAGCGGCGAATCGAGCAGCTGCGCCACCACGTGCCCGTCGCTCACCTTGCGCCGCCGCCGCTGCTGCCGCCTCGTGCCTCCCTCCTCCTCGTACCCGTACCCGCACCCGCCTACCCTCGCCGTCACGATCTCCATGCCTTCGCCGCCGCCGCCGCCGCGGCGCCCGGCTAGCTCGGCAGCAGGTGGTGGTGCCACACGTTCGTGGACCAGCTGCATGGGAGGCGTATAAAATGGCCGCGTGATGATGATGAGGCGGTTGGTGCGGGTCGGGGGGGCATTGGCGCGAGGGAAACGGCGAAGGGAGGACGCGCCCCAGTGGTTAGTTGGGCGTTGGTGTTTTTTTGCCCGTCGGCGGGAGGGGGGGCGCTCGAAATCTCGTGACGGTGTTTATAGGCCTCTTTGGAGGTTGCCGAAAGGCTTTGTTTTGGGGGTCTTTCGGCTAAAATGCCAGCGTTTCAAAGGTGGATACACTCCGCTGAACTGAACATTTCTACGTGTACCTTCGTTTAGTTTAATTGATGCCTTGATGGTTGGGAGTTTTGAGGTTCAAAGCTTTGGGTATTTTTGAGATAGACCAACATCCTCAAATTTGAACATTTTGCGTGGATTTTATCAACATCTGTTGACCATTTGTTCCTCAAATTATTCCTTCTTTCCTTACAAGAATTCTTGCTCGGACTAATTTGAGAAACAAATTATTCATTGTTGACACGGACTTTTTATTTGATTAGAATATTTAGTCCAAGCAACTGTAGTAGGACAAAGTTCTATGAGAAATCATATTTTTAGAAACACGGAGTATATAACCCGCAGCAATAATCTAGTGAATAAGCTGAAAAAAAACTGTCTGAAAATAGTTCCCAATATTTTTCAGTCTTCCGAAATTAAAGCCATACGGTACCTCTCATGGTACTCCTAATTAGTACGGGCTGGGTACTAGTTTTCAAAGTCAGATATGGTACCAAGCCGCTCTCACTGTTCTTGGCACCCGCAAATTTCATGGGTTGCACATGCCCTAATTATCATGGCTAATTCGGTAGTAAGTCAAGAGTGGCTGACAAATGACTATCCTTGATATTAAGCAGCCTGCCTGCCCTGCTCGAGACGAAGGGCAATTCATCGGTGCCAGTACTTTCCAAGTGTTTGATTCCCAGGACGGTGGTGTTAATTGCTATTGCTGGTACTAACAGAGGCATTTCTCGGAAGAACCATCCTGCAGAAGATTAGCAGCAGAATACACCATTAACCCTTATTTTTAAGGCTTCAGACTTTCAGCTTCTTTGAATGCTTGATCATGTTCTCGCCTGATCGAACTGGTTGCAGAGTACTGTGCGACCGTTGAATATTTTGATCATGTTCTCCCTTAAGTAAATTGTTTGAGAATCTGAATCTGATGCTGTGTCGGTGCTTCTCCCTGACATCAGTGTCTGCGGTTTTTTTTTTTTTTTTTTTGCTACGATGATTTTGTGATTTAGCAGTGGCCATAGTACAATGGTTTTTTAAGTGGGCTGCCTCTTGTGGGCCTCGTGTAGTAATTGGAAATGAGGCCCATGGGCCATTCTCTGTTTTTGGCTAGATGGGCATGAAATCTCGGTACAGCCTGTCCAGATTGCTAAGCACGAAACGCCTCCTCTCCTCTCAACTCCTCATTCCCCTTCTCCCCGAAACTCTCCCAAACCCCAAGTCCCCAACCATGGCGACCGCCGCCGACCAAAACCCTAACGACGCGGAGCACCGGGAGGCCGCGGCGGGAGCCAATGCGGCGGCGGAGGAGTACGAGGAGGAGGATGAGGAGGAGGAGGAGGTGGAGCTGGACGGGCCGGCAGCCGTGGCGGCGGAGCGGGAGAAGGTGCAGGCCGTGTTCAAGCGGCTGTCGTCGGACCCCGTGGGCATCCGCGTCCACGACGTGATCATCAAGGGCAACGCCAAGACGAAGGAGGAGCTCATCGAGGCGGAGGTCGCCGAGCTCCTCCGCGCCGCCCCCACCGTGCAGGACCTGCTGCGCAACGCCAGCATCGCCAGCGCGCGCCTGCGCCAGCTCGACGTGTTCGACTCCGTCAACATCACGCTCGACGCCGGCCCACCAGAGCTGCCCGGCACCACCAACGTCGTCGTCGAGGTCGTCGAGGCCGCCAACCCTATCACGGGGAGTGCGGGAGTATACTCCAAGCCTGAGGTGAGATCTCCAGTTGGTTCGATTGTTTGGTGACTGCATTTGATGGCGGAATTGCCCTTAGTTAAAAACTTGAGCATAAGTTGATTGATGTTATGAGGTCTGGGTTGGGATGTAGATTCGTATTTAGCTATTCCTATACATTTTTCGCGAACGCGCAAAAGGATTGCACGTCAATATATTAGAAGAAAAGAGTTATAGTTACACGACGCAATCAGCCAGACTGGCTTATGCAGAGGGAAGGGAATAAAAAGGAAAAAAGAAGCTGGAGCTTAAAAAACTACGGCGGCTAAATACAAACTCCAAGCAGCGGGAGTTTGTATTTAGCCGCCGTATACATATTTCAGGGATTGATCATCTTCCTTATCATCTAATTGGAAGGATAACTAGGTACAAACAAAAGCTTGTGATTTATTCATGTTGGCATTTCCCCAATGGTTTATGATGTTTATCATGAGTTTGGACTCGATACATAGCACTAACAGATATTTGAGCCTCCATAAGGGTATCTGTTTATTGAGCAAGTATGCTAGCAAAGCTACAGTACTAAATAGGTAAACTTCTCAGAGGCATGACTAGAAGAGACTATTTATGCACTCAGCCTCTAGTTGTCTAGATCAATTAATTAATGAAACCTGGCGTGCTGAACTGATTGGATCATCCCGATTGATTTATGATCTTGCCATTCAGATAAACACTTATCAGGGATTTGTATTTTCAAATACATGTTAGATTTGGATTTGCAAACTGTGCTCTTCACTGAAGAAAACACAATAAGTGTTCAAAGTGTTATATCAGCATACTAATGCTTGGGCAGCTATCTATATCATGCTATGGCCAATATTGAGCATGACTGCATGAGAATGAAATTCCATTTTGACTCCCCAATCAAATACACAAGCTGACAGTAATATTTGCAGCCTATGTGAGTTAATAAGTTTATCAGTTAATCTCTGTACGTACTGCCATACTGTAGTCCCCTGTTACAACATTAGCCTCTCCTACCCCCCTTTTGGTGTTTACTGGGCATATCACATACAACCTTTAACACATGAATATAGAAACTGTGAGCATTAAAGTAGGGCACTCGTTTCTGTATTTCGATCCAAATATGAGTTCACATGAAAATTTTCTTATTCACACCACTAGATGTTTGGACCTGGTAGGTCAAGAACCTTCTAAATTGGTGCACAAAAATATAGCTACTAGAAATTGTTTTGATCACTTGTGCCTTATTTATAACTTGCAACATATCAGCCATCAAATTTTTCTACTGCAATCAACACTAGTCAACTAAATCTCGATTTAACCGATAGAGATACGGGAGTATGTTCAGCTATTTTGTGGAGAAATTGTGTTGTAAACTGATATTTAGGCTTATTTAATTGGAGATCTTAAGTCATCACAACATTTTGGTCTATATTTGAGCGGCACAAATTTACCAACAACACTACAAAGATCATGTGAGTTTGAAAAATAAGGTATTAGCATTGATGCTTCACTGACTTGTGGCTCCTGGTCTCAGTGATGTTGTTTTCCAGTTTATTCATGTTACCTGGTAAATTTCCCCTAACCCAGATAGCCTAGTACATAAGACTAGTGCAAAGGAAATTTTATCTGATCAAGAGGGCAAATTTTCTGTCTAGTCTAGCTGTGAGTTCACTTTTTGGAGTTCAACATAGAAGTGTTGCAATTGAGTATTGATTAATTGATTTGTACAGTATATTTGCAAATATTGGTATGTTTTGCTTGTTTGTCCTGTATTCTTCTTGCATGCCTAGTTTTCCCAGTACCCAAAATGACTGCAATTGCAATATTGACCATAGATTCCACTGTGTTTCAATTGAAATAAAAAGGTAATAAGACACATTGTTTTCTGATTATCAAACAATCTTATTGCATTGTGTATTTTATAAAAGAACTTTTTTTCATCCGAGATGAAATCAACTTTCAAAGTGGTAAGTCATCCTGAACCAAATAGAGATAAAATTGCAGGTAATGATGCTTACTGGACTTCTTGTATAGACAGAATAGGAGCAGAAAAAATCATTATAGCATTTAATTACTGAATGATGTGTTCCAGTCAGCTCTCTATTTCTGCACCTGAAGTATGACTCTGTACACTACTTCTGTAGGCAAGATCTTGGTCACTTGAAGGCTCGGTTAAGTTGAAGAACCTGTTTGGCTATGGTGACATCTGGGATGCTTCAGGTGCATACAGTTGGGATCAGACATCTGAGGTTGGCATTGGAGTGTCCCTGCCAAGATTTAAATCAATATCAACACCCTTGATGGCTCGGGCGTCATTGTCGTCCCAAGATTGGCTGAAATTTTCTTCTTACAAGGAGCGCCTGCTTGGCCTTTCATTTGGTTTGATTTCAACCATGCAACATGATTTGTCTTATAATCTTACATGGCGTACCTTAACTGATCCATCACAAGTCTCATCGAAGTCCATAAGGAGGCAATTAGGGCACAATCTTCTCTCTGCGTTGAAATATACATACAAGATTGATCAAAGGAATTCACATCTCAGGCCAACAAAAGGATACGCGTTTCTCTCAACTTCTCAAGTTGGAGGTCTATGGGATAGCAAAGGGTTGAGATTTTTCCGCCAGGTTCTTTCCCAGCTCCCTGTCTGTTTTCATAATTTTGATTGGGTTACATTGATCCTTTTATTGCTTTTGTTTCCACAATCCATGTATGATGAAACTGCTGGAAAATACACTTTTCGTTTCGTCCCAAATATGACTTGCTCTTTTTTTTTACTTCAGGAGTTTGATGTTCGTGGTGCTGTACCTTTGGGATTCTATAATAGTGCTCTCAATGTTGGCCTTGGAGTGGGTGCCATTCTTCCACTGGGGAGAGGATTTATGAATCTATCTTCATCTGTGCCTGATAGATTTTACCTCGGAGGTCATTCTTCTCCAGTTTGCAGCTTGAGTGGACTGTCATCCTTGTTGGGTTTCAGAACAAGAGGGATTGGTCCAACAGAACCACGGAGGCTTGTCCCTAGTGAATCTGAGGATGGATCTGCTGCCTCACCAGGGCGGGATTACTTGGGTGGTGATCTTGCTGTCTCTGCCTTTGCTGACCTTTCGTTTGATTTGCCTCTGAAGATATTTAGAGATGCTGGAATACATGGTCATGCATTTCTAACTGCTGGGAACCTTGCGAAACTGTCGGAGGGTGAGTATAAGAAGTTCTCACTTTCTGAATTTGGGCGTACATTTAGGAGCTCTGCAGGTGTTGGCATTATTTTGCCTACTAAGCTTTTCCGAGTGGAGGTACCTTTCTACTTTATTTCCTGAGACTCTACACATCACGAATGCCAATTGACTGTATCAACACTGATATCTTTTGTCTTTTGTAATCCAGGTGAACTACTGTTACATTTTGAAGCAGGCTGAGCATGACTCTGGGAGAACGGGAATACAGTTCAGCTTTTCGTCACCCCTGTAGTGACCAGAAATACCTTTTAGCCAAAGTTAGCTTCTCCCGTAGAATGCTATTGCTGCCCCTTATATTCTTTCCTGCTTAATCAAACTTCCCAACAAACATATTTGCATTTCATTGACTTCACCTGTGCTATGACGCTCTTTTATCGGCACGAGGAGCCTAGAGTATCTAATACTGTTCGGCATTTTGCACTTCTGAGAAGTTTTCCCTTCTTTTTGCACCAAGTGATGTCAAGAACAACGTTTGTACAACTGGAATACAAATGCTGCAATTGGTGGAGGCAATAAAATTTTTGGGAAACTGTTTAGACCAAAGATGCTTTGGTTCGTGCACTCATATGTTGGTATGTTTGCCAGTCCTGCATGGTAATTATACCAGGGATTGTCTTCATCATTCATAGGGAACCGTTTCGATTCTGATGAAATGTCTGGTATGATGCTTGCTTGTACACTAGTCGAAATCTTTCTAACTACACATTTTCCACATGCCATAAACTACTGGAGTGGTACACTAGTTTCTGGACGCAGCGGAGTTGAGGGCGGCTCGACGCTGCCGGAGTTTCTGGACGGTGGCAAACAGCCATTGGTTGCACCCGGAGACTGCTATGAGCGGTCACGCGCTTACGAGTAACAGGGACACCGTGTAGGCGTTCTACCAAGGCTGGACGAGTGGATGGATTATGGATATCGACGTTATGCTGCAAAGTTCTACTCGAACTTGCCAAGAAAATTCTGATTACCCAGCAAAATCCAAAGCCATCTCCGCCAGCCGAACCCCAACGAAAACAGACACAAGACCGGTGCTACACCCAGAGGCCATCACTTCAGAGTACAACAATTCAGCAGAGGAAACCAAAGCTTTCCTGCCAGGAACATACGACACGCTAGTACTCTAACCGCAGTCAACAGCCTTTTACAGCTGAGACGGCACAGAGCAATATTGTGGGTAGTTCGGCACCGGCAAGACCGTCAGTAAAGTTTGGTGGCGCTGCCTGCCTGACGGCCTCCGGCCGGTGGCGCGGCGCCCCCCATGATCTCTTGTCGAAGCAACAGGTGAAGGCAAAAGCATGCAGCTCGCAACAGAAAGGCGACGGGTGACAGATCGCGGACGATCTGTCTGGGCAACAGGTGGGACGGTTGGTGGCCATTTCATGTCACGCTTCTCGCGATCATACTATGATTTCTGCACAGAAATGGACTGAAATAGGAGTTGATACATGTCCCATGACTAGATCACTAGACTTCAGGGGAGAAGAATGAGGGAGCCGGATGCGACTCAAACATCATACTCCTGATCAGATATACGGAAAGTGAGCACAAGCCACACAGGATCTATCAAAGTCCCAAAAGACTAACCTTTGAAAGAAGGTTCATTGTATGACTTGGACTCACCCAATGACAGACATTTTGCTCCCTTTCATGGGTACCTCGCCGACTATTTAACAGAGCAGAACGATCAACTTCACCAGGGTATCAGCCTTGAATATTATGTGCCCAAGAATAGCAAGTTACTGGTTTTGTCCAGCAGTAGTTTTTCAGTCTCAACTACTTGAAGAAAATGTCAATGACCGATGTTATATCATCTGTAATTCTGCAAACGTACCCAATTCTTGCTAATTCAGAGTTGTAAAGACTGATCGACCGTGCGTAACCATTTAAGGCAACAATGGAACATAACAAATGTGAAACATCAAAGAGTGGAAATAGTGTTATATCATGAACTCAACATTCATTGGATCAATTTAACTTTGTATTAGCTCAGTTTTATGTGTTCAATAAGATCAGAAGCTATCAACAAATGAGATTCAGGTGTCAATGTATTATTTGACCTCAAGATCATTTCCATCTAATACATTTGCATAGGCAATTTACAATCCAGTAAATTCACCTGATGACAATCCCTCACTTTCCTTAGTATACATGCCTCGTGGAAAAGCATATAAATTAAACAGGTCGGGACTCCGAAGGAATACATTTGCAATGAACTCAGCAGCACCTAATAAACAAGTAGAAGAGAGAATTTTATATCACAACCAGAAGATACGTCCCCGAAGAGAGAAAAGGGCTAACTGAGAACAGCAAACCAAGAAAATTAGACGAGCAGTTGCAGCCCGAGAGCCTCAGTTCAGCCGCCTTCTCTTGTTCCGGTGTAGTCCCACACCATCCACATCCAAAGAACCTAAGGCATCATTTCTTCCTCTCCTCCTCAGGGATCTCGAAGACCCTGCATTACTTGGTTCCCCTGTGCTTTCAGTAAAAGCAGCATCCTCCTGAATTACAGCCATGGTGCTTGAATTGGAAGCTTGATCTGCAGCTAGTGCAACGGCAACATGATTCCCATCAACTGGCAGCAGCTCGGTATTTGGTGGATTTGGTGGATTTGATGAAGTTGATGCTCCATAAGGGCTCGGCCTAACCATTCTTCTAAGGTCACTCACAGCGCTTGCCAATCTTTCCGTGCTTGCAAGGTCAACAAAGTGTTGCAATAAATCAATTCTTTCCGAGGAAAATGGACTTGAGCTACGCCTAGGCAGATCCGATGTGCTGTTTGCTGGCAGCCCACTCTCCGCAGCAGAAGAAGCAACAAATGTAGAGTTTTCGGCTTCCCTCTGCAACCTCCTTGCCCTCATTCTAGTAGTAATTCGACCTAAACGGCTAGCATGATGAGCATGATCAATCATTTCCTGGACAGTTGATTCAGGAGGCCCCTCAAACCTACTCACACTATTCATAATCTGCTGATCAAGTATGCGCCTCCAAGAAGACAATATCCCATGTGCCTCGCCAAGCCTTCTAGAAATCGGGCGCAAATGGTGGAATTTCTGCCGGAAGCTCTCGAGCCGATTGCCATGTGGCCTTGGTGGGATTGTAGGGCCTGATACATTTCCCTCCTCCGCAACCTTCTTTTCCGCGTCCGAAGTCGAATTCCCTCTCCCGTAAATTGGAGTGATGTTCCCTTCAGTGACCTCGCCTTTGCAGACAGGGCACTCCTTGTGAGTTGAGTGGACATGCAGCCATTGGTACAAACAAGGCCAGCAGAAGAGATGTCCACACGAAGTTACCACAGGCTCGGAAGCCATCTCGAAGCAGATGTTGCACTCAAACATCGCAACGCTCTTGCCACGTTCGGCTGGCTCCTCCTCTGAGGCACCCACGATAGCGCCATCGGCGACCACCTTGTTCTCTTCAACCGTATCTTGCATAGGCTCTTGCGGTGGCGGTTGTGCTGCAGCGTCGTTCTCCAGGGCAGGGGCCTCCGAGCCGAGAGGCGGAAGGTCCGACCTGAACCGTCTTGGACGGAGGCAGCGACTCTGGCGGCTATTCAGGCAGATCACGGGGGGACGGTAGCGGTCGACACGCTCCGGGCGGAAGGAAGAGGAGGCCGTCGACGACGATGGCCGGTCTACCCACCCAAGCAGCTCGCTGGGCCGCAGCAGAAGCGGCGGGTGGGAGAAGCCGAACTCAAGGTCGTCAGCGAGCTCAGGTATCGCCTCCGGGGGCGGCACGGGAGGCGGCACGTAGGGCGGGTGCGCCTCGGGAGCCGACGGGTCGTACGGCTCGGGCAGAGGTGTCGGGGGGCGCACAAGCTCGGCGGGGGGCGGTGAGTACGGCGGGTGGAGCGGCTCCGTCTCCAGCGGCGGCGCGTCGGCCGAGGCCGCCGAGGAGGAAGGCGAGGAGGAGAGCATCGGGGTGCCGAGCGCGAGGTCGGAGCCGAGATCGGGGCGGCGCAGGCGCGGGGCGCGGGGGAGGCCGAGGTAGAGGTTCAGATCCATCCTTCTGCTGCTCCGCGCGGCATCGTCCGCGGCCATCCGTCGCACTAACCACACCTCCTCCTCCTCCTCCTCCCCCTCCGCCTCAACACCCCCAGCTCCCTCCCTCCCACCTCACCACCATGCCCCACCGCGGCGCGCGCGGCGTGGGCGAGCGCTGCGCAGTACGGCCGGCGTCGGGAACCGCACGAGGCAGCGGCGGCGGAGGCGGGCCAGGCCCTCCTTCCCTCCCTCCCTCCTCCTCCTGCAGGCGCCGGGCCTCCTCCGAAACCGCGCCGGCGGGGGAGGCGGTCGCGGTGGGAGTCAGCGGCGGCGGCGGCGGCGAGGGAGGAGGTGGGGAATCAGGAAAGAGGGGGAAGGCGAAAGGGGGAAGAAGAAACAAAGAAAGAATAGGCAGAAAAATTCGGGAAGCGGTCGGGGAGAGAGAGAGAGAGAGAGAATGGAAACGGGAAGCACGCGGCGAGGTTTTGTCGCTGCGGTGCGGGAAGACAGCGCGCCACGTCAGCGCGCACGCCGGAAACGGTAAAAAGGCTGTCCCGATGAGGCGACGACTGACGACTCTACAAAATTTACCCGGTGGCTGCCTGCCTACTCTACGGGTAGAAGTTATTATTACAGCTCGCTCTCGGTAGAATCGTTGTGGGCCGCGCTACCATCTGATCTCACGGCCCAACTCACGGCCCATCGGCGATGTCTCCGCTGCTATCTCTTTCGATCAACCGGTTTTCTCGGCGTCGCTGGCTGATCAACGTGTCGTAAAATCGTACTACCAATCAGAGCTGGTGAACATGCCGATCACTCCTTCCACAGCTCTCAACTGCCATACCAAACTGGATACGTGACACATGCCAATTATAGCGTATAGGAGGAGGTATTAGGCTCAATTTGTTGAATAATCAATCGTGTTTGCATGTATACGGTAATTGTATCATCTCAATGTAGTTTTAATATAGTTTAATAAAGCTTTTATTATCTTAGAAAAATACGACAATGACTTCAGATTGCCATAAGATCACGCCTTATGATTTCAAGGTGGTTTTGCACTGTTTTTCCAGTAATTAATAAGCAGTGTTGACAGAACAGAACTCAATTCATTTGATTCCACAGCGGTTTGTAGCTAGCCTTCCCGAATCTTCTCTTGGATCAGAAGCACAGTTGACACCATCAGCATATAATGGACCTTGACAGCTTTAACATGTCAAAGATGTTGCTTAAGAATATAAATAGTAGTTGCTTCTCTCAGAACAATGTAGTTAGAACTAAGCATCCTGCATTAGATGCTGATGAAGATATCTAAAAACTTTTAACAGTTGGCACCACAGCCACAAGGAATGCCTGGACAATGTTTGGCAACACGAAAATAGCATAGTTTATGCCTTTTTAGCATTAAAAGACCGTGCAGGGATTCAAAATGTTGCATGTCCCATTTCTATCTATTATATTATTAAAACAGCTTTAAAAGGAGGCACCACATTCGCTGTGGGGCTAGAAATTCCTACATTAATCGGAGAAAAAGAAAAAAAAAAGAAAAAGAGAGTCCAAGTAGAAATACAATTTAAAAATAGCTTAAATTCGGAATTAAAAATAAGCAATATTGAAAGAAGTTTCCATATAAGAACCCAATACGAGATTAATCAAAATTCAAAATAAACATAAAATAAAATAAAAAATTAGAAAAGAAAAGGAGAGTCCAAGTAGAAATACAATTTAAAAATAGCTTAAATTCGGAATCAAAAATTAGGAATATTAAAAGAAGAGTCCATATAAAAACCCAATACAAGATTAATTAAAATTCAAAATTCAAAATAAAAAAAATCCAAAATTAGCAAAAGAACAAAAGAAGAGTTAGGAATACAATTTAAAATTAGCTGAAATTCGGAATTAAAAATAAGCAATATTGAAAGAAGAATCCATATAAGAACCCAATACGAGATTAATTAAAATTCAGAATAACAAAAATAATATCCAAAATTAGAAAAATTAAAAGAGAGTTCAAGTAGGAATACAATTTTGAAACAACTAAAATTAAAAATAAAAAATAGAAATATTAAAAGAACACAATACGGTATTAACTAAAATTTGAAAAAAAAATTCTGAAATTAGAAAAAGAAAAATAAGATTTTAGTTAGGAATATAATTTATAAATAACTAAATTTTGTAATAAAAAATAAAGACTATTGAATGAAAATACCATCTAAAACACATGACGAGATAAATTAAGTAACATGCCTATAAATGAGTAGAGTGGTGGCGGTTGATACGACATATAAAAAATGTTAATAAAACACCAAATAGAAAAATAATGCGATTAAAAAGAGGGACGACAGGCAGGCCGTGAAGCAAATGAGCAAGGCGGATGCCGGGACTTCTAGAAAGTAAAAAAAATAAACCCCATTGATAATCATATTCGATTTTTAAAATCTCAATGACAATAAAAAGGAGAAGCAGCGGACGGGGTGTATAGGAGTATAGTTGCTGAGCCGCAGACGGTTGACGAGACTTCTAGAAAATAAAAAATGAACTCCAGCGATAGTTATGTTAGATTTTTAGAATCACAATGACAATAAAGAGTAGGCGGCGGACGGGCTGTAGAGGAGCATAGTGGCATCGTTTGACGAGACTTCTAAAAAATTATAAAAAATGAAACCCAACAAGACAATAAACTCTAAAAACTATAAGGTCCAAATTTTAGAGGTTCGGAACTTCTAAAAAGTAAAAAAAATCAATGATAATCATGTTTGATTTTAAAAATCTCAATAACAATAAAGAAGGGAGGCAGCGGGCGAGCTATAGAGGAGTACAATGGCAAAGCCGCTGACGGTTTGGCGGGACTTCTAAAAAGTAAAAATGAACCCAAATGATATTTATGTTCGATTTTTAAAATCTCAATAATAATAAAGAGAAGAGACAATGGACGGGCCGTAGAGAAGTATAATGGCAACGTTTGACGGGACATCTAGAAATTATAAAAACGAAACCCAACGTGACAATAAATTCTAAAAACTATAAAATCCAATTTTTAAAGATTCCAAAGAGAATGAATAGAAATAGTGGTAGATCGAGCAAGCAAATAAAGAAGGAGATGACATACGGGGTAGCAACTGGTGTGACTTTTAAAAACTATATAATTAGAAACACGAAGATGATGATGTTTGGTCTTTCAAAGTCTGAAGACAATGAGATAGCTATTTAATAAATTTTAAGTAAAATCATACTTAAAAAATATATATGATTTTGTTTGGGTGCTAGCCGCGTAATTGGGCGGGCCGCCCAGCTAGTTTACAGTACACAAGGGAAGATTAAGTGAAGGAGTCAGCAAACAAAGATTAATTTGTTTATGGAACATGACGTGACATTGGGACAAACTTGAATACTAATTAGATAATACCCCGCGCGTTGCTGCGGGATTTTGTAGGTAGAAATGGAGAGCTACACGTGAAGGTGTAAGAGATAATGTAATAGTAGCCATTGGAAATGGTAATTTTTTTCGAACAAACAACTATTTCTGTAGGATTAAATCTATGAACTGAAGTAGCAACATCCGTCAAGGTTAAGATAGAAATTTCTCAGATAGTAATAGCAACGCAAGAGACACTAATTATGATTATTGTTATTGACCTTCTCTTCAGTTAGAATGACCTGCATTTGAGGTAATCCATTTTTTATGTAAGAAATGTTAAAAGCTCAGTTTGTTGAGGTCTCCACTTGTAGATTTGCTTGGCAATTAACGAAATTGTTGGGCTTGTAGAAGAATTCGCTTGAGCAACTGCATCCACGTTCACTTGTGAAGAACGCACAAATGAAAAATGAGCAGCATATCTTGTTTGAAAGTTTGGGGATTCCTGAAGGAAAGCGCAATAAATGGCAAAGTATAGACATGCAGTGACCCGAGTAACACCTAAGGTCTCGACTTCAAATTTTTATAGGAGTGAATTTCAGATTGTATTATTTGAGGGATTAAGCTCCCAATTTAAAAGTCTGCATATATTCGGTTCACCGGTTGGATATAGAGGCCGGGTAAAAATTACCCTCAAGAAAAGAAAATGATGGTGCATGGAATGCAAGGCACCAGGAATAGAGTAATAGAGAAAAGAATGTAATAACATTTCTTAATTGGTGAGCAGTGATAACCTGCTGGATGGTTCTTGTTGAAGATCCATCTTAATTTTATCTGTTTCTTAGGATACCAATATGTCTTAGTGCTGAAAATTTCTGTCAACAGAAAAAAAACAACTTGTAGTATTTTGGATTGAAAGATCCATAAAACTGAAGATAAATAGTCGGATGGCCTTGATGAAAAACCCAATATTTGACAAACTATTCAATTTTGCTATTACAAAGAGCATTCTTTATACTCTAGCCAGAAAAGAAATGAAAAATTAAGTTATATGGGTGTAAAGTAGGATCATCATATACCAAATAAGAATCTGGATAGACATATAAAAAATTAGGGATCAATGTGTATAAAAATAGCTAGACTGTTGTTATGGAAGGAATTACTTGTACCTCTTGCACAGCATGTGTCGCAGGATGGGCATATAATAATATATAGAAATCATGTGACCAAGAATGAATATGAGGCAATTATGATTACCCAATGTATATATAGATTGCTCCAGCAGCTGTTACAACGATAGTAAGCAATTTGCATCCGGAATTCAGAATTAAAATGAACTATCGGTGCAGGTATGCAGCGTGATGTAAAATTAGTATACATACCAGTGATCCTCATACCATGAATTGTCTCCTTTAGTGAAGTGTATATACTAAATAAATTTCAATCCTGTTTAACGCTGACGGTAGAAACTTGAAGTAGAGCCGAAACAAAACCAATCCCTCCTTTCTTAATTCTTGAAGAATATGAGGGATAACAGAAACAAATCAATCTAGCATGACCGAAAGCAGAAGCCAATTTATTGGATGAAAAATATATGGCTCAAGAAGAGGAAGAAGCATACCTTCGGGAGGTTAATATACACCCCCTTGGGTGTGTTCAAGGTGAAGTCTGAGGTTGAAGATTTCAGGGGAGGACTAAGAAAACAAATCGAACGACGTTTCATGGTGAAGAGCTCGACATCCATGAAATCTGCTCGGTTTTTAATGTCAGCCATCAAGACCGCTTGTTGGTGGGTGCCGGCGGTTTCAGTTTTTTGTGATACGCCGAGGAGGCGAGCAGCCTAGGAGGTGGGGCGGAGCGAGGAGGGTGGGGAAACGACGCGGCTGGTGGGCTAGTTGCGTGCGTGGCGCGGAGGTTGAGGAAGGTGGCTCGACGGAGACACACATCGTCGGGGAGGGAGGAGGAAGAGGAGATACGCGGCTGAGACGGGCTCGCCTCTCGCGTGCGCGTAGGGGAACGCGCGACCGCGTTGCACTACGCCGCCGCCGCTCCGATTCAGAACTCAGGGCTCGGGAGGATGAGATACCGAACCCTAGACCACTGATTGGGTTGCGGGCTGCAATGCACTGACGTGGGCCTCCTTTGCTATGCTAACATGGGCCTTCTTTGCTGACTCACACGTCCTGTGAACTCAGCAGCTTTTCATTCAACGATTGAGATGCAATGTAATCAAGTGATCCAACGGCTGTCAATTGATGATGACGTGGAACACTGTGGTTTGAGCTTTAGGAGATTAATTGCACTTAGTGGGTGATAACTTTATAGGAAGAAGGGATAACAGTTTAACGATAATTATCTAATATCTTTTCTAGCTCTGAACAGCTGCATTACCAAATAAAAATATTTCTACTCCAACAAGAACAATGTATTTTCATAAAAGATAAACACTATTCAAGTAAAGAAAATCAGCAAACCAAGAATACAGTTGAATAAACTCACTTCACTATTCATCAAGGGCGATAAGATGGTCCTAGCTCCTAACCTTTCCAATGACAAGAAAAAGGTGGCATTCATATAACATTCAAAATAAACACATCGATGTCATGTGATGGGTTTCCCAACATGTAAGCTTGCATACATGTATTGTACTTCTCTACACCATATCACCCAAGGTTGATGCAAATTCCAAAATTCATGTAAGTCCAAAAAGAAAATAATATCAGTCCAATTCACCAAAAGAATATCATATCCAGTGCTATCATTAGTTTAGATGCTTCCCTACCCTACTCATGCACTCTTTGCCGCACTCTATATCAGACAAGACAGCAAGTGATGACCCTGAACAAAAACGAGGAAGAGAAGCATCAACAATGAGAGGCATCATATACTATATATAACCCTGATGCAGGCAACGTTCTTCGAGCAAGCAGGACAGCGTGCAATTTCGTACCACCATTCACTATACCACATCTCAACTCAGTCTCAAACAATCAACATTGCTGTTACTTCCGGCAGGCCAAAGGCAAGGTCTCTCTCTATACCATGTCTCTAAAGGTAAGCTGTGTGCTACTTTCTAGCTGTAACTTGTTGCTGGCAGCACGATTTAACTGTTCTTTTTTCTAAGCATATATACAGCATGATATGATGTGTTGCTACTGACTTCTTTTCACTGTTAGCAGAAGGGAAATCTAGCAGGCTGGTACAGCATTTGAAGGGCCAGCAGAGTCTGTGCATCCGTCTCCTCTACCATCTTCTTCTCCATCTGGAGAGGGATGCTCATCTCCAGTACTTTGAGTGTCGCGGCTCATCCTTCCTCTTTCTATCTTACGGGAGAGCCTGCCTGCTGCTCCAGTATCCAGGGCGAGCTGGAGGCGGGAGAGGACATTCTCCGTTACAGCTGGACAAGCAGTGATATCATCTGTTCTATCCCCCTTCAAGTGTGACTCAATCATGGTGAGTTTCTTATGCTTAAAGACCTTATGGCATGCAAAACATCTGAAGCCTGAAACTGTACTCTTGCGCCAAGCAAACTCCCACAGTTCGTGGGGTTTTCTCCCAAAGTTTCTCTTCCGAATATCAGGCCTACATATCAATTCAGTTAAGAACGCAGAATGTATAATAAGGGAGACACATGCTTCTTCAATAGAGAATGGGGTACTTTAGGGGACAAAATGCATGCAGTCGCTATGTTATATGAAGAAAGATCCTTACAGGTTACTCATACATTCATTAAAAAAAATCGAATACCTTCATTGCAAAAAAGATCATGCCATTGACAGCACTGCCACCACATTGGCGGTAAAATGCAGTGCTTCCATCACCTTAATTCTAGCACAATTAGTATACTGTGTGTGTTCCTAGAATGTGTATAGTTCAAAACTGATCATCCGAAGGTTTTGCTAAAATTAGTTGGACTGTTGGTTCCCTATGCATTCTGCCAATTTACTTTGTGGATGCATTTCATTCGAATCTTTAATGTCAGACTGCGTATAATGCATTACTGTAAACTAAAAAAGAACTACAGAAATTGAAGTATTTGACAAGGTTATCTTGTGTGGCTCTCAAGAAAAGAAAAGAAAAAGGTGTGATTGATCACACATCAACTCAACAAATTTGGTTGCATTAGCTCCTAAAGGGCCATGAGCCCATGATGTTCTCAATATATCAATAGTTCATCTCTTTCAATCACCAGAGAAGCAACAATGTACAAAATTTACTAAATGGTCTTAACAATTAGTCTTAGAAAAAAAACTATAATTCATAAACGTAAGTACATTGGGCATGCGGTTATGTACGAAATAATATGCTATAACCATTTCAGAGTTATCGAGCAAGTGACGAAAATATTAAACAAATTGTTGACTCATTTGCACAATTTAATAAAATTTTGGAATGTGTACCTGAAAATGGGATAGTAAAGGTAGATGTAGTCCTTGATAGCCATGCCAGTATCAACATCATTATTCCTAAAACATTAACAGAGAAATTCATAGTCAGATGCTTTGGTATAACTGAGCGAATTGTCATGTTTGTTTGATAAGACTGAAATCGTAAGAAGTTATCTGAATATACTCACACTGCTGCAGTTCGATTGCTGATAAGAACTTTGAGATCTGATGATGCAGTGCGCACTCTTTTGCTCCTACACTTCTCCAGAATAGCGACATTCGCATTGTAATAGTCACTGGCCTCATCATACTTCCCTTCCACAAGCAGATCATAAACATGTTGCCGCCTTGCCAGTAAAGCAAGCTCGGGGTGTGCTTGATTAATTTCACTCATTGGTACACCAGAAATGGCAGAGTATGAGTTCAAATAATTTTCAGAAACAATCTTTGTCAGGTACTCATCAACCTTGAGCCAGTCATTTCTCCGAAGGAGTGATTCAAGTATTCCCTTAACAGACTTAACGTGGGCAATGATACTGCAGTTCAAGGTAATCAGTGTGTATTATAACAGAAGAAATAACACAGAATTTTGGAAGTGTTTCATTTTTTTTTAGATAAAGGCTCAAGGAGCCTGGCTTTGATTGAAAGCTGGAAGTGTTTCATTTCATTTGTTCATGATAGTATATCAAATACTGCACATAAAAAAGGGTTCGAGTATTTGACGCGATGAGGTAGCCAAACTAGTTGTTGCACATCCCAAAATGGAGTGTGCTTTGGATATACAAATTGTACGAAATCCAGTTCTAGACAATCCATTTCAATCTATTATTTTACTACTTAGTTGTAGTCCTAGTCTTCATGAAAAGCTACTGATAAGAGGGCAACACAAGAGCTGAACTGCACTAAGACAGTTCAATAAAGTGGTATTGCCTTGAGCTGAGCTGATAAGTTGTATTGCCTTGATTTGATAAAAGCTAGATCCCACCCAAAAACAAAAATCAATAAAGTGGTGCAGAACAAGACATGTGCAAGGAAGAATGGTACATACTGTTTAGTAAAAATTCAAGGCATGAGAAGCAAGAGATATATGGATCAAATGGTGCAGAACAAGATATGTGCAGGGACTAATGGTCCACCCTCATACACATGTTTCACACTGGCCCACATTTAATCACTCCAGTATTTCATTATAGCATTATATGCAAGACATGCTTAAGGCTTCGTTCGATGCAAGCATAAAAATTGAGCTTTTCAGCGGCAAGGAAATCGGAGCAAGCAATTAACACATGATTAATTAATTATTATAAACTTGAAAAATGAGTTCATTTGAATTTTTAAAGAAACTTCTATATAAAAAGTTTTTGCAAAAAATACACCGTTTAGCAGTTTGGGAACGAGTAAGTTGAAGTTTAGAGTTGGAGTTTAGAACGGGGCCTAAGAAGAGATCAATAAAGTCCATCTCAATCTTTTGCTGTCCATCAAGATGATCTAGGTCCAATGGTTATTGGCATTCTCACCTAATTCTTAAGTAGATGGTACCTATTTTAAAAATGTCAAAACTAAGATGGGTGTGTTTTTTTTCCTTATCACTCATTTAATACATATAACACAACTTTGTTAAAAAAAAACACATGGCATAGCCAAGCCATGCTCACCTCTCATTAGTGCATAGTGGTTCTCCATAGAGTGGAAGAGAGGTCAGCATTTTCCTAGTATAAGAAACAGTAAACCAATGCTAATCAGGAAACCAAACAAAGCTACAGAGTACAGGGAAACAACAAAAAACGTGCTCACATGGATTCAGCATCCAGACTTATTTCAGGTTGTTCTGGAACATAAGAATGTAGAGAAGAGGGAGGAAAATCCATATATTGTTGTTCCTCAATGCTGGCTGGTGCCCTAATATGAGAACCAAGAAACAGTAACCATTAGAAAACCGAACAGTCGTACTGAAGAAACAACCAAACTATAGTCATGTTTCTTCAATATGCAGGCGATCTGTTGTTTCTTCGAGCTTTTGTTTCTTATGTCTGGTTAATGCAACCAAGAACCAATAATCTATTATATAATTAAAGGAATAGAAAAAAGAGCCTCCACGTTCGTTCTCATGGCCTAGAAATTCTCACATTAATCGGAAAAAAAGAAAAAGCAGAGTCCATATAGAAATACAATTCGGAAATAACTGAAATTCGGAATTAAAAAATAAGGAATATCAGAAAAGGAGACTAGAGTCCATATAGAAATACAATTAGGAAATAACTAAAATTCGGAATTAAAAAATAAGGAATATCAGAAGAGGAGACTAGAGTCCATATAGAAATACAATTAGGAAATAACTGAAATTCGGAATTAAAAAATAAAGAATATTAGAAGAGGAGACTAGAGTCCATATAGAAATACAATTAGGAAATAACTGAAATTCGGAATTAAAAAATAAAGAATATTAGAAGAGGAGACTAGAGTCCATATAGAAATACAATTAGGAAATAACTGAAATTCGGAATTAAAAAATAAAGAATATTAGAAGAGGAGACTAGAGTCCATATAGAAATACAATTAGGAAATAACTAAAATTCGGAATTAAAAATAAGCAATATTAGAAGTAGAGTAAAGAGTCCATATAGAAATACAATTAGGAAATAACTGAAATTCGGAATTAAAAATAAGGAATATTAGAAGAGAAGTATAGAGTCCATATAGAAATACAATTAGGAAATAACTGAAATTCGGAATTAAAAATAAGAAATATTAGAAGAGAAGTATAGAGTCCATATAGAAATACAATTAGGAAATAACTGAAATTCGGAATTAAAAATAATGAATATTAGAAGAGGAGTAAATAGTCCATATAGAAATACAATTAGGAAATAACTGAAATTCGGAATTAAAAATAAGGAATATTAGAAGTAGAGTATAGAGTCCATATAGAAATACAATTAGGAAATATCTGAAATTCAGAATTAAAAATAAGGAATATTAGAAGTAGAGTATAGAGTCCATATAGAAATACAATTAGGAAATAACTGAAATTCGGAATTAATAATAAGGAATATTAGAAGTAGAGTATAGAGTCCATATAGGAATTTAAAACTTACTAAAATTTAGAATAAACATAATAAAATTAAAAGTAGAGTTTAGAGTCCGTATGAAAATACAATTTACAAATAACTAAAATTCGAAATTAAGAAAAACATGGGAAGAAGAGTTTAAGGTCAATATAGGAATATAAATATAGGAATACAATTTAGAAGTAACTGAAATTCGAAATTAAAAATTAAAGAATATTGAAAGATGAGTTTAGAGTCCACATAGAAATACAATTAGAAATAACAAAAATTCAGAAATAAAAATAAATAATATTGGAAGAAGAGCATAGAGTCTATATAGAAATACAATTTACAGAAAATTCGGAATTTAAAAAAAAAGAAATATTAAAAGACGAGTCTAGAGTCCATATAGGAATATATATAATTTACAAATAACTAAAATTTGATATTAAAAATAATTAATAACTAGCACGTATATAAAATATAATATGAATATTACACATTGTAGTTTTGTAAAGTTATTGCAAAATTTAAAATTATGTTGTCATTTTAATATATTTGAATAATATAATGAGAAAACATACATGCTATTATATGAGAGAAAATATAAAGATGTTAGCCGCGCAATCTGTACAGGCAACCATGCTAGTTATCAGAAAAGTAAACAGAAATACTGAAGAAATAGATATCATATGGTTGGACTTAATCAGTGCATTTGAACAATTTGCAGGCAGCAACTAACATTCCAAACGGACTAAACCAACCAAAACATAACGAAGAAGGGGATATGACTCCTTGTTCTATATACAAGAGCAGCATACTGTTTCTGTGCTGCATTAACGGAAACACATATCACCTCATGGTTTTGATTCAACTCTAACGTAATGCACAACAATGTCAATTGAGCAGAAGTCATGGCCATTCTGGCCTTCTGGCCTTCTCCGATCCACTTAAATGAATCTGGGGATGCACTTGGAGCTGTGCCCGTGATCGAAAATGCTTTCAAGATGAAAAGAACACAAGAACTTTCGGGAATATTTTTTTCCAGGTGAGAGCAAATCATATTCCATATTCAATCGGTGATAAACGATCTTGTGAGGCTTCAAACGACGAGGGTTTTAACTGAAACCTAAACTTCTCTCAAGAACAAAGAACACGAAAACTTCAGAAACTAATCATACACGAGTGCTTGCCGGCTGGAGAGCTAAAAAAATATCCAAAGTGAAAATCCAATCAGATGGCGTCGCAAAAACTCGTCGTGGTAGTGAATTTTCGTGCCTAATCACTTTCGCGGAGAACAGGATCTTCACCAACAAGTTCGCACGAAATTGAGTAGAAAAAGAAACAAGCAGAGAGATTAAGAAGGCTTCAAGGAAACCCGAAAGTGCTTTCAAGACGAAGAGAACACAAGAGCTTCCGGAAATATTTTCAGATGAGAAATCGCAGACTTCACAGAATTCAAATAAAATCCACAAAGTGAAAATCCGAGCAGATGCATTTTGATCGGCGATGCACGATCCTGCAAGGCTCCAAACTGGGAGGGGTTTAGCCACTAAACCCTGAAGTGCTCTGAGCCTTCGAAGAACAAAGAACACACGAAACTTCAGAAACTAGTCAACACACGAGAGCTTGCAGGCTAAAGAGCTCGAGAAGAAGCCAAAGCGAAAATCCAATCAAATGACTCGCGGTGGTGAATTTTCGTGCATAATCACCTTCAGAAAAGAGCAGAATATTCCTCACGGAACAAACTCGCACGGCATTGAGTAGCAAACGAAACAAGCAGGAAACGAAACGCAAGGGCTTACCCTTTTCCGCCATCATCCTGATCCTCCTGGTCCGCCATCCCGGTGAGGAAGACGATGAGCAATCGACGAGGAGGGGAGGAGGAGGTGGTGGTGGTGATGGTTTGCTTCTTCTTCCTGGTTCCGTTTGCGAGTGGGGCCCCCTTGACAGCACCTCCTTTTCCGAAATATATACGCCGCTATTGCCACTCTCTTGGCGCGTGGTTGGTACCAACCGTCCATTTTGCCTTGCGATTCGTGCTGAAGTTGATGCTTCCTTCCAGTGAAGGCGCGGCACAGGGCGTACCCAATAGCATGTGGTCCCCGCTAAACACGCATGTGGGCCAGCGCGGACCCACCGACTCTGGGGTAGGGCGGCGACCGGCCGCCGTCCGTACCTGCGCCGGCGAACCCCAACCTCTGAAGCCCCGACCGCCGCCGCCGCCGTCGCCTGGCGCCATGACCCCGCTCCTCGACCGGGACATCGCTGGCTCGCCGCGTGCCCTCGGGCCACGGTGCCTGCGAGCCTCTGACTGCCGCCTTGTCCCTCGCCGCCGATGCGCTGACCGCCTGACGCCACGAGCCCGCAACCGAGCCATCTGCGCCCGCCTCCTGGCCGCGTGCTGCTCCGCGCCGCCGCCTTTTCTGGCTCCACGCCGCCGCCGCGCCATCGCCATGGTTTACCGCACACTCCGCCGCCTCTCCTCTGGACAATGCTCCTGCTTTGGAATGGTGGTATCTGCTCGGCCGCTTAGGCATGGAAAGCCCAGATGCTAGTAATAAACAAGGAAAAAGTCCACTTTGACTCCCTTAATTGTTCACCGAATCTAATTCATGACTCTTAACTACAAAACCGGACAAGATGACTCCCCCAATTACTAAAACCAGTATAAATTGAATCCCTCAGCGGTTTTAGAGGGCAGTTTTGCTGACGTGGCATGCTGACTTGGCCCATTATGCTGATGTGTCAGCCTAGTCATGAGGCCCACATGCAATTGATTAGGGAAAAATATAAAAATCATAGGGCCAGCTTGTCAGGGCCCTCTTCTCCCTCTATCTTTGAAAAAAAACAGCAGAGCAACCGCTGTCGGCGGCAATGGCGATGGCGGTGGTGCGGGCGGCAGCGGTGGATGGCGATGCGATGGCTGTCTGTGGCGCCGCTTCGCCTCGTCGCCCTCCTCCTCCTCCTTCGTGGCCGACTGCTGCATCGCGCGCCCCGCCCTTGTGGAGCGCGGCGCCGCTCTCGCCGACCGCCTGGAGGTGGCGCGCTCGCTTCTCGGCGAGAACGGCTACACCATCACGCACTGTAGATGAGGGCCCGTCTGGCAAATCCTCTGGCGCAACCTTGTCGCCGAGACGCTGCACCCGTCACGCGTCCGCCTGGCGGGGAGGCCGAGGAAGGATACAACAGATCAACAGCAACTCGTGTTTCCTGGTAACAACTGCAGAGCTGAGTAGGACACAAGCCGCCGCAAGATTTCATCAGTGATAATCTTCTTTTGAAAATTAATCATCAGTGATAATCGAGCGGGGCAGGCGTATCCTTGAGATCCATCCCCTGGAAATGGACATCCTGCATGCACATCACAAGCAAAAATAATTCAGTCATCTCAAACCTACACAAAGCACACATCAAGCTTGGGAATCCACACGCACGCACGTACCGATGCGAAATGGTTGACGTCGCGGTGGTGCGCCTCGTTGGCGCGGACGACGACGACGACGTCCTTGAGCGTGGCGCCGGCGGGGAGCCGCCAGTAGTCGATGGCGATCGGCGACGCAGGGACGTTCTCGATCTTGCCGGCCTCGTTGTCCTTGAGGTACTTGGTGTAGGAGTGGATGGCCTCCTTCTCGAGGTAGCCGACGACGCGGTGCGCGAGCTTGGGGGAGAGGAGGTAGCCGAGGAAGTAGGCGTTGAAGAAGACGCGCTGGACGGCGAGCACGAGTGTGCGCTCGTACCACCTCGGCTTGGCCACCTCCATGAAGGTCATGAGGTGCATCCGCTCGTTCTCGGCCTCCTCTAGCAGCGCGCGTATCTAGCCGCCACTGTGCTCGAAGCTGGTGGCGCTGGCTCAGTCCCAGGCCTTCCTCTCCGACTGCCTCATCAACGCCACCACTGGTCACCCCTTCATCTTTGAGGGCGCCTTCTTCCTCTCCCTCACCATCCGCATCAACTTCGGCACCCCCACCACGCCACCACCGACCCCGTCCGCTACCCCGACGACCGCGTCTGGGAGTCCGACATGGCGGCAGCCCAACTTCCTCGTTGAGGTCGCGCCCGCTACCGCCCAGACCTGACCAAGGCTCGAGAGCGAAGCTCGGCGGTCGTCGCCGCCGGCGCCGCCCCCCGCCTTCTGAATTGGGAGGGAGAGAGAGATAAGGGGGAGATTGGGGAGGATGAGGAAGGGATAGACTAACATGTGGGCCCCACAAATTCTTCTTCTATGTGAATGACGAATTGGTCCCACGTGTATGTTTTTAGTTATAATGCCACCTAAGCGTCACGTCAATAGCAGACCAAGTCAACATTGCCATGTAGACGCCACGTCAGCGAAACCACTCTTCAAAACCGCCAAGGGATTCAATTTGTACCGGTTTTATTAATTAGGGGAGTCATCCTACCCGGTTTTCTAGTTAAGAGTCATGAATTAGATTCGATGAACAATTAAGGGAGTCCAAGTGGACTTTTTCCAATAAACAAGCACCCTGTTGGGCTAATTTTGTGCAGTGTTTGGCCCATGGGTTTAAGCAATTGCATATGTGCAGAAAAGGAAAAAGTCCAATTTGACTTCCTTCATTGTACGCCGAATGTAATTCGTACCCCTTAACCAGAAAATCGGATAGGACGACTCCTCGAACTAATGAAACCAGTGCAATTTGACTCCCTCAGCGGTTTTGGAGAGCGGTTTTGCTGACGTGGCGCTGACATGGCATTAGAATTGAAAAATAATCAGTGGGACCCATCTGTCATTTACACACACAAAAATACTGTGGGACCAACTGACATGTGGGGTCCACATGTCATCCTCTCCTTCCCTCCTTCCTCCTCCCTCTCTCCCCTCTCTCTTTCTCTCCCCCTCTCTTGGCCGGAGTGGCGACGGCGGCATGCGGGCGAGGACCAAAGCGGCGGCAGCGGCGAGCAGGAGGCGGGGGATCTAGGCGGCGTTGTTGCTGGAACCACGCCCACGACGGCGTCACCAGACGAGCACGGGGAGCTTGGCCTCGGCAAAGGCGACAGAGTAGTCAAGGCGGAGGAGCGTAGAGACGTTGGGGGAGATGGCGCGGTCATGGGAGGCGGCGTCGGTGGAGCGCAACGCCGCCGAGCTCGTGTGCGCCCTCCGCGCCGTTGTGATACTCCTCTACCTCCATCGCCGCTAACCGAAGCGTCGCCGCCTTCCGAGGCTATTGTCGGTGGTGGAGAAGGGAAAGGGGAGAGGTGGCGCCGCCGAGATCTCGCCCACCCTCCGCCGCCGAGCTCGGGAGCGTCCTCCACACCGTCGAGCTACTCCCCTTCCTCCGCCATCGCCTGCCGAAGCGCCGCCGCTGTCCGAGAAGGGAGAAGGGAGAGGCAGCGCAGCGGAAGGGGGGAAGGGGACACGGACGACGATGACGACATGGATATGGCGAGGTGGAGCTGGAGGGGGTGGTGGACACTCCAGCGCCCGCCTCCCGTACGCCGCCGATCTGTCTCTAGCCCCGCATGTACGCCGCCGTCGACACTCCGGCCCCCGCTTGCCGCTGCCATCGATCCCCGCGTGCGTCCGGAGGGGGGAGAGAAAAGAGAGAAGGGAGAGAGAGAGGGAGGAGGAAGAAGGGAAGGAGAAGGATGACATGTGGGCCCCACATGCTAGTGGGTCCCACAATATATTTTGTATGAATAACAGATGGGTCCCACTGATTTTTTTTTCAATTCTAAAACCATATCAGCGCCACGTGGGACGAAGTCCGGGTTAACACTGCCACGTCAGCGCCATGTCAGCAAAACCGCCGAGAGAGTCAAATTGCACTGTTTCGTTAGTTCGGAGAGTCGTCCTATCCGGTTTTCTGGTTAAGGGGTATGAATTAGATTCGGCGTACAATTAAGTGAGTCAAATTGGACTTTTTCCTGCAGAAAAAGCGTTACAAGATTCTGATCTTTATTCTTCTGCATTTTAATTTGAGTGATTTTACCGTCCTTAAGAAGATACTGGAAAGTAATATATATTCTAGTATAAAATTTCATATCTCTTGATACTTTCGGTATTAGAAAATACTATATTTACACTAAAAATTTTGGTGCTTTTAATTAAAAAAATTCTTTTAGTTTACTCCTAGTTTGGAGCATACAGGATTCTATTTCTAATTGAAACCGGCAATTGAGTCCACTGTGGGTAAGTAGAACGATGATTTCGAACAAAAGGACAGCATCGAAAATTTATGTGGATAAAAAACGTAAGAGTAAAGTGCACGGTCGATCCCTAAACTTGTAGGGCCATGTATCTAAATCTCCAAACTCTTATTTAGATCATAGAACTCGTCAAAGTGTATTATTCCGGCCCCAAACTGCCATGGTCCCTTCGAGATCGTATGTGGCATTGGCGTGGCATGCCACATAAACAATGACGTGTATCATCATTAACTCTACAATGACAAATGGAGCCTCGGCATCCAAAGCATGAAGAAGAAAAAAGGAAATGAAAAGTAAAAAGGAGAAAATAAAATAAAATTTTTGAATGGGTCCTATTTGTTAGTCTGTGTAGGATTGGTGAATATGATATATCAGCATTTGTGTGGCATGACATGTTAGCGTCACGTAGGATCTTGGAAGGGCCGTGGTAATTTGGAACCAAAATGACACATTTTAGCAGGTTTTAGATCTAAATATATATTTTGAGAGTTTAGGCACTTATAAACTATATAACACTGTTATACAATTTTAGGAACTTGTCGTGCACTTTACTCAAAATGAAATGCTAAGGAACAATTGGGAAACCAAATTGATTGTGTCCATATGCTTATTTCAACCAATTAATAGAAAATATATTCTATGATATTATATTTGATGATGCGATTCTACAATATGACAGTGGTACTGAAATTTCGCAAAAGCTTTGCGCGTCGTTGTATAACGTGGCATACTATCTAGTAACTTCAACAAAAGAAACAGGTGTCATAGAGGTTTTCGATTCTAGTCTTTCAATTGTGTTTCCTTATTTCCTGGTCTTTGCGTTGTAGGCTCAGATTGCGATTTGTGCATCACATTATTGTGCAGCCCTTTAGCATATTGTCCCTTTCCCACCCAGGTCACTTGATAATGACATTGCATACCTCTCTCCAGTTTCCAGTGCCCCAGAAGTATGCTTTTTGACGTAGTCTTGGCCTCTTTGGCCCATGGGTTCGACCATGCTGAGTTATAATTGCATATACAGATACTTAAAGTGGTAGGACAAGATTCTGATATATTATGCGAAAGATTCCGATTCAACTATTCCCAAAACCAAATAGTATCATTCGCCTTAGAGCTGCTAATCAGAAGTTTCTCTAGAATTATTCTCGAGACAAGTCCAGTTAGCTAGTTGGCTGGCTCATATGATGATATGAATGTTGAGAATAATGTTTTTATGCACGTAGTCCAAGCAAAATGTGGCATATGCAGCTCCACACTAAAGTAAAGTATTGTTTCGCTCAGCATTTGCCTTGTACAAAGTCTCCAGTAGAGCAGTACTATCACCATGTCATTACGCATCCAGTTGTACGATAGCCTCCTCCCAACTAACCCAACAAGGCTAATAACACGGTAAACCCCAACGAAGCTCACGAAGACACGGACAGAAACCACACACGCGTAAACGACGACACGCGCGCCGGCGCCATGGGCCTCCCCGGCCGGCGCAACCCGTTGCTGAGCGCGAGGCGCGCGGCGGCGTCCCTCCGGAGGAGCAGACGGCTGCCCGTCTATGTCGCCGCAGTCTTCTTCGTCGCCTCCGTCCTCCTCATGTTCCGCGACGAGATCCTTTATCTGACGACGGCAAGGTCGCCGTCGTCGTCGTTGCCGACAACGGGAGGATCAGCCGGCGGCGCCGGGCTCGCCCGGAAGGAGGAGCTAGTATCTGTCAACAAGCCAGTCTTGCTTGGTCACGGCGGCAAACCGGAGAAGCACCACAGCGTGACGGAGAGGCACCGGCCGAAGGTCAGCGCGAAGAGGCGGCCGAACAAGAAGGCGGCCAAGGCGGCGAGGAAGAAGTTCATGGCGTCGCCGTCGGTCGCCGCCGGCGCCGAGGTGAACGTGCCGGAGACGTGCAACCTGTCCAAGGGCAAGTGGGTGTTCGACAACGCGACGTACCCGCTGTACCGCGAGCAGGAGTGCGAGTACCTGACGGCGCAGGTGACGTGCACGCGGAACGGGCGGCGCGACGACGGCTACCAGAAGTGGCGGTGGCAGCCGAGGGACTGCGACCTCCCGCTCGCCTTCGACGCGAGGCTGTTCATGGAGCGGCTCCGCGGGAAGCGCCTCATGTTCGTCGGCGACTCGCTGAACCGCAACCAGTGGGAGTCCATGGTGTGCCTGGTGCGGCCGGCGCTGTCGCCGGGGAAGAGCTACGTGACGTGGTGGGACGGCCAGCGGGTCGTCCTCCACGCTTGGGAGTACAACGCGACTGTGGAGTTCTACTGGGCGCCGTTCCTCGTCGAGTCCAACTCCGACGACCCCAAGGCGCACAGCATCCGGGACCGCGTCATCAAGCCCGAGGCGATCGCCGCGCACGCCGGCGACTGGGTCGGCGTCGACTACCTCGTCTTCAACACGTACATCTGGTGGATGAACACGGTCAACATGAAAGTCGTGTAAGCTACCGCTATCTCTCTCGTGCCATTGTCCAACCAGATTACCAACCCGCCATGACCAATTCACCGTGATCAGGAGGCCGACGGGGAAGACGTGGGAGGAGTACGACGAGGTGGGTCGGATCGAGGCGTACAGGAGAGTGCTCGACACATGGGCGACCTGGGTGAACGACAACGTCGACCCGGCCCGCACGTCCGTGTTCTTCATGAGCGTCTCCCCTCTTCACATCAGGTGAGCAAAATCCTAGCTAGCTACACACATACGTACATTTTCTCCCGTGCAATTTCGTATTCCTATCAAAATTTGACCAGGAACAAAAGAAACGCGCTCGATTTTAAGTTGATTAATTAGTCACATACATGATTCATTTTTTCCTAATTTTTTTAAGGATATAGAAAACATGTCTTAAGACGGGCATTACATGGTCCATGGGATGACCACATTGGCATTGCATCCCATTTAGAATGTATTCTGGAGTGACATGTTTGTTTCTTCTAGTTTCTCTGTGGACTTTAGCCAGTCCACAACGTGCGTCACATAAGCGACTTGGCGCCAACCGGGGTGACAAATCAACAAATGAGGTAGCTTTCAACCGCTAGCGTGCCGAGCATGTTACATTAGTTTTGGAAACTAGGATGAAAGCTCCACATGTGTGTAGTTCACTACTAGTTCTGTGCTCTGTACAGGACCATCACATGGTTGCACGATTGAATTACATGCACATCATCACAATACTACAATATCACGAGTTTTATACTCCCCAAGGTAGGTGGATGGATTTTCTGTGTGTCAGAATACTTCGAGGTCTATTTTTTTTTTATTTTTCGTACTTGAATTGAAAGCATGCCCAGCTCACACAGAATCCTAGGCATTGACTTTTAGAACGGTCAACATGATCTATACTACTCCAACTTACGTATAAATCTCAGTAAACAAACTTACTATTACGTGACGACCAAATTTGTTACTGATCAAACATGTACATGTGTAAATGATCAGCCCGGAGGCGTGGGGCAACCCGGGCGGGGTGCGGTGCGCGAAGGAGGACGCGCCGGTGCAGAACTGGCACGGCCCGCTGTGGCTGGGCACGGACTGGGACATGTTCCGCGCGGCGAGGAACGCGTCCCGCGCCGCGGGGCGCGTCCCGGTCACGTTCGTGGACGTGACGGCGATGTCGGAGCTCCGCAAGGACGGGCACACGTCGGTGCACACCATCCGTCAGGGCCGCGTGCTGACGCCGGAGCAGCAGGCCGACCCGGCCACGTACGCGGACTGCATCCACTGGTGCCTCCCCGGCGTCCCCGACGTCTGGAACCTCATGCTCTACGCCCGTATCCTCTCCAGGCCGCCGGCGGCGGCCGGTCACGTGGCGTGACCGACCATATGTGTACAGATACTGTTTGTTTGTTTGTTCGTTCGTTGATGGGTTGCCAGCTGCCTGCACGGTTAGTTTTAGTTTTTGCCTTTCGCTTTTGTTGCTTCTCGATTATTATTTTCTCATATGCGAGATATAAAGGAGGTGGTTGGTGGCGATCGAGGTGATTGATGGTCATGTGACGCAACATTCTTGACCGGATTGTGTGGCACGAGTTAAGCGGGGAACATCTGCAGTAGTAGTAGTTACATGGTTGAAGGGGCGTGCGCCGTGGCGCGACGCGAATAAATGTCGTGTGACGGTGTGAGCGAGTACCGTGTAGATAGAAGGGCAGAATAGATATTCCAACACTCAGATTTACACAGCTTATTACTTCTGTAATACTCCATGAAATTTGTTATTCTTTTATCAATACTAGAAAAATGCCCGTGCATTGTAACGGATAAATGCGTTGTTTTTTTTCCAGTGGTACGATCTATCAAGATCAGTTACAACGCACTGGTATTTTGCTAGTTAAATTAGATTTTTTGGTTAAACATTATTCGTGCATCAGTGCATGCTATTTAGTCTTTATTAAGTTATGAGGCATATTCTTTTGTGCTGTAGTGCATGTATGGCTCGGGACATGAAGAATTTATTATGGTATATTTGTTTGGTTTATCTATTGATGTGTACGATGGCTTGAAGTCAACCATAGTTAATTAATGCCTTAACAGCAGGTACCTGAGACTACGCTAAAATGAGTTGAACAATATGGTAAATGAATACTGTGATGCGGTAGCTCATTAGTGGGTAGTACCAAAAACCATGAATAAAACATTCAAAAAATGGAAAGATAAGAGTAGAAGAAATTCATTTTGAAAACCCAAAGGGATCAGTATTTAAAGTTCACCTCAACTATTTACATGGAATTGTTCACCATGAGAGGTGAAGCCACAAAAGCACTTGCTCTTACTCGATTTGGAGACTATAGACCCATCATCCAGCTCCGGTGGGGCATGATCATCCCAGGCAACCAAATGAATGGGCCATGGGGGCAGCAAGCATGCAGGAGGCCTAGCCAGCCCACAGAAATCCGATGTCCCTCGCTTGTTCACTTGTGTACACGATGGGGCGCGCATGTACATGCGGAATTCCAAACCGACTCAATAAACTTAACGTACGAAATTCCTAGCAAAAGCATCTTTTTTTTTAATGCCGGGGGGGAGGGAACTCCCCACCTGAATTAAAATTAAAGAAACATCAAAACTGTACAAACCATACAAGAAGAAAAGAGGAAGCATAACAGAGCGAAAGAAAAGAAGAAAGAGAGAGAGAAAACAAACAAGAGAGATTACATTAGGTGGAGAGGAGAGGAGAAGGATGCAAGCCAAGACGAAAGAACCGCCCGGTCAGCCAGCTTAAAACGGTTTGCCTAAAGCTTGGCGTCGTTGGCGCAGCAGCGGAGAAGACGGTTGATGGAAGGTGCAAGGAGCTGGAAAACAACTTCGTTACGGTGGTTCCATAAGCGCCAGCAGCACAAGAGGAAGAAGGTGCTATTTAGTCGTTCTGGAAGGTCTCCAGACCAGTGGATAGTGTGAATCTCGCTCAGGGAGGTTAACATGGGTAGCACCTGAATCAGGCCCCAGAAAGCAGAAGCCAGGGGGTAGGCAAGGAAGATGTGGTCAGTGTCTTCCGGGCAGGTATTGCATAGCTGACATGTTAGGGAGGGGATAGTTGACTTCTTGTGCAGGTTGACAGCAGTAGGAAGTCTGTTCATAGTCATTAACCAACCAAAAAATTTAACCCTCGGAGGGGCCGAGCTCTTCCAGATGAATTCCCAGGGTGGCCAAAGATGATGACTTTCCATGGTTTTGCAATAGAGGGCTGAGGTTGATATCAGGCCACTGCGGCAGCTGATTGAACTTTGTATTGTGTCTTGGTCTTGTGAGAATGGGAAGTCTTGAAGTAGGTCTTGTAGCTAATGCAGTTGTTGCTGAGCCACTGTTGATAGCCTTGGGACAAGGGGCAAATTAAGCCTAGCGTGGAGCGCTGAACGAACCGTGAGATGAGTAGTTGTGTTGTGAGAGAAGAGGGCTGGGAACTCAATCGAGAGAGGTTTATCAGTCAGCCAGACATCAAGCCAGAAGTTTGTTCGACAGCCATCGCCGATTTTCATAGTGGAATGAGCTCGAAGGATCAGCAGAAGAGTGATTAGAGTGTGCCAGTGTTGTCCCAGATTGGCTGAGCCGAGAGCAGAGTCTTGATGCTCACTCCAAATCTATTTTGTCCATGGGGAATTTTGTGAAAAAAGCCGGTAGATCATTTTAGTGAGCAGGCAGATGTTTTGCGAATGCAGATTTTTAATTCCCAGGCCTCCAAGGCTTTTACTTTTGCAGACGAGGTCCCATGCTACCAGACATTTGGAGCCATGACAAGAATCCTCCCCAGACCACAGGAACGCATGGCGACGTTTATCTATAGCTTCAATGGTTCCCTTTGGGAGCATGTAACGCTCCGCTTCTCGTGAGACGTTAAAAACTAATTCGGCAAAATCCTATATGCGAAAATTTCGTTCTTTGTATGCGAGTCTAAGTTGTGCCAAGGATCTCAATTCAATCTCTTGTTGTTCCCTCTCATCGCCATCAAAATCGTCCACCTCAAGATTCCAATTTCGACTCAAGTCTCCAAAATCAAACTCCGAAATTCAATCGCATCCTTTGAATCCCCGCCAAATACCTATCCCCATTTCCGAAAATATCAAATTCCCATCTCGAATCCTTTCCTTGAGTCTCCCTTGATCCCTCCCTAAACCCCCGAGATCGAATCTCAAATTTGAAATTTAAACCCAAGTCCCAAATCCCTCCAACTCAAATTCCCTATAAAAGTCTACTTTACCTCCCTGTGTTTTTGGATGGACCGATTTTCCTCCCCTCGGCCCACCTTCCCCGCCGTCCCTCCCCAGCCCATTTCCTCCCTCTGCCGTCCTCCACCCTCCTCTCGCACGTGCCGAGCCGAGCCGAGAGAAAGAGCTCTCTCGCTCTCGCTGTTTCTCCCTCTCTCTCTCTCGTTTTCTCTCTCGCGCGCCGACGCCGCTTCCCGCCGTCGCTGCCCAAAACCCGCCACCGCCTTCGCTCGTTCCCGCGCGCGCTCCCGCCGTGGTGGCCGATAGCCCTCGGTCACCGTCCGCCCTGGCCCGCCTGCGCCGCGCAGCCGCCCGCGCCCACTCTGCCGCTGCCCCCACCTCTGCGCCGCAGCGCGCGTGTGTCCAAGACGCGGAGGCAGCGCCTCTCTCTCCCACGCGCTCTCTCCTCCCTCAGCTCGTCCAAAATCGGCAAGGAGCCGAGCTCCTTTCTCCCTCCCCTTTTTGCTTTTTCCCCGATCGGCGTCACGCCCGTGACCGCCTCTGCCGCCGCTTGGCCGCTAGCTCCGAGCACGACCGCTAGCTGCCGCCTTGACCGCCCTAAGGTCGGTTTGAACCGACCTCCCGCGCGAACCGACCTCGCCTCCACTATAAAGCCGAGTCCCTCCTCTCAAATCCCTCCCACTTCAGTCTCCACCGCTGCAGTGCCATCGCCGCCTTGCTGCCGCCGTCCTCGCCTTCCTCCGCCGTCGCGTGTGCCGGGAAGCCGGCGTGCGCGCGGAGCCGAAGAGGGCTCCGGCCACCCTTCTTCTTCCCCTTCCCCGGCCCGACGACGGGGAACTCGCTTCCGCGCCGTTGGCTGCTTGTCACCGCGCCGTCCCGGCTCGGTAGTGCCTCCCTCCCGTTCCCCTTCCCTGCTCACCCTCGTCCCCTCTAGCTTGCGTGGTAGCTCGGTAGCCCTGCCGAACGCGCGTAGACGCCGCCCCAAGGACCGCCGCCACCCGGCATGGCCCCGCCGCCATTGCCGCCCACCCCCGGAGGCCGCCTCTCATCGCCGGCTGTCCTCGGTGCTCCTCCGTCCCATCCGGCGCCGGAAACGGATTCCTTGAACCCCGGATATGCTCCCACCCCTTTTAATCGAACCCCCGTTGCTCCGGTGAAGTTTCCCCCTTTTCTCGCCGCCGGCGTGCGCCGCCGCGATTCGTCATCGCTGGCCTCCCTCCGGCGAATCCGATCCGGTGGCTCACTTCCTCTCGTCCGTCCCATCGTTCCGGTGTACTCCCTCTCTCTCGAATCGTCGCGACGAGCTCCGGTGAACTCGGCCGCCGTCAGCCGTCCATCTCGGCCGCCCCTTCTTCCTCCTCCCGCCGGCCCACGTGGATGCCACGTAGGCGCCACGTCGGCACCACCTCGGCTTTGACCGAGCCGAGCCGGTCAGCCGCCTCCTTCCTTCCCCCCCTCCCGTGCGCGCGGTCCACGGTGCACCAACCGGCTGCGCGTGGGCCCGCCGCATCCCTGGTCCATCCGGTGCACGCGCGTGAACCGCGCTCACCCGGAACCCTAGCGCTGCCCTCATGCGCCGCTCCCACGGTGAGCCGCGCCACTGACAAGCGGGCCCCACCCGGGACCCCGCAAGGTGGATCCGGTCCACCCGGACCCATCCCCCTCTCTCCTCCCGCGCGCCCCGCCCGCTTGGGCCGCGCCTTGCCCGGCCATGGGCCGCCTCCTCGCGCCCGCGCCCAGCCCATTGGCTCGGCCGCGCCGTGCTTATCTATTGGGCCGCACTCAAGCCGCCCGAGGAAGTCTAAATCACATCCCTCCATCCTTTTCTTTTTCAGGGATTTAATAAATCATTTTTCCTTTGTCCCATAAATCAATTCCTTATTCCCAAAATTCCACAAATCATTTCCTTTGGTCCCGCGCGTCAGTGACTGTCAATAATATTCTTGAGAATATTATTTCTATAAATTCCATAAATTATTTCTCCTATTCCAGAAAATCCAATTAAAACTTCGAAAATCCATATCTTCCGAACCGCTCATCCGATTGACTCCGTTCCACTTCCAATAATTCCGTAAATTGAGATCTATTTAATGGCACTACTAATTAGTCTAAATAGGATCTCTCTTTTGGTCTTTTGTTTAGGTTCTCGATTGTTTGCGTATAGTTGCGGTTACCGGATTTTCGTCGATCGCGGGTTTTCTCGAAGATTCGTGAAGCTTCGTGAAGACCTTGAGCAAGGCAAGTCACCCTTTGATCAATTGCCCCTATAATTGAAAAGTCATTATTATTTTGTTTGCAACTTGCATTATTAGAATCACACACTTAACTTGCTTGGCCTCGGTTTGCGTGCCAAACCGACGGACCTACCCAGTAGTCGCACTAATTTCCGTAGGTCGTACTACCCTGATTCCTTGTCGCTCCACCCTTGTGGTACCTCGGTATTCGTGCTCTCTGAGCGCGTATACCAAATATCCCACAAACACCGTTGTTTGTCGAAAACTTGGGAAATGGGTTTGTGAAGCCTTCAAAACCCGACATGTGGTGTCGGTGTGTTTGAAAACCAAATGAATTGTGAAAACTCGCGATGCGGGGGTTGTGCCTATGTGGCACTGTCCCGTATTCGCATATAAGGACCGATTCCTGTGGGAAACTCATCGAACATAATCAAAGTGCAACCACAAGGTGGAATGGGACACCCTGGCTAAGTAGCTAGTCGGTTCAGGGAAACCTCGCATGCCAATAGTTGGGAACGCCGGGGCGGGGTCGGTTGGAGCCAAACCGGGTTCCTGGTAATGCAAGAACGAGAAGCTTGCTG